TTGACATTTCTCTGTGTTTTAGGGAATTGGTTGGCTATGTTATATTGATAGAAAATGGGCCTCTACTGAAGTATTTTCACCAAGTGTCTAGTGTTTAGGAATGGGCTGCTCATAGAATCAAGAGATGCCTGTATTCACAAATGGTAATACAGACTAAGGATTAGTATTGAGAAAATATAGTTCATTCAAATCCGAAAGAAAAAGATAAAACAATCACTAGAAAATGGATGAAGAGTGGAAACAGACAATTCACAAAAGAAAAAACTGTGAGATTAGCCAACAGATAAGAGCAATACTCAACTGTAAGCAAAGAAATGCACTAAATACATTAAAACAATGAAATGCCTTTTCACAATTTATCAGATTCATAGAAAAGTTTTATAATATTAAGAGTTGTGGAGGATTTGGAAAATCAGGCACTTTTGCATTGTTTATGGCTGTGTGCATTGAGGAAGGCATTTTTCAAGGCAAATTAGCAGTATCTCTTAAAAATTGTAATGCACAATGCCCTACTTTAACAACTTATTTCTAGAAACCTATCATTCAGGAAATACACATGTGCATGAATATGAATAAATAAGGCATTATTTGTAATACCAAAAATATTGAAAAGATCCAAAATGTACACCAAGAATTTGAATATATTATGGTGTGAAATACCATGGAGTTGTTTGAAAGAGTGGGTCACACTTGCACGTACTGAGGGGGAACGGTCTCCAAGGCATATTAAGTGAACAAAACAAGTTGCAGAGAAATATGTGCCATAGTCCATGTTTATGTGTGTGCCTGTGTATATGTGTAGGTAAATACTTAGGAAGGAGAACCGAAAGGACACACCCTGAACTGTTGAGAGCACTTATCTCTGGGAGAGAAGTGGTTGCTGGAGGCGGTGGTGGCCTCTCAGTCATCTAGCATTCCACGTTCTTGTTGTGCAGCGCTCCTCTCTGCAGTGACTTGCTTTGGCCAATAAGTAATGTTGGTCTCTTCTGTGCAAAGTGTTGGAAGGCAGAGCATCGTTTGCCTTGTCTTTTGCCTTCTGCTATGAGACTGGCAATGTTCCTGATAGAGGTTGGCCTCTTCCATCAGTTTGGGTTCCAGAGTGAAGATAGTAACAAGCAGAGCTGTAGCAGATTCATGCCCAACATGTAGTGTGAACAAGACACAAACATTTGTGGTTATAAAGCCATCGAGATTGGGGATGTTTGTTACTGTAGTATCATGTGGCTACCCTGACTGCTGTAAACAAAGGAAGACATCTACAGGTTTTCCTCTGTATATTTCTCTATCAGATGAGGATGTATGTAATGCTTATAAACTAATTTTAGAAAATCACATCTCAGAAACTGCAAATGACTACATGTCAAGAACCTTCAGGATTGTTGACAAATAGAAACTATGGAAGCTAAATCCTAGAATTCCAAGGGCAAAGTTGAAGTGCCTGCCTGAAACCTGCACTGCAGGCCAACACACCATGGACCATGGCTACAGTCTGTAGTGCTATGAGAAGGAAAGAGGTGTGTTGTTAAGCCAGTGACCAAGAAATATGGTGGCTAATTAGACAGGTAAGAATTCTTCTTGTGTGTGGTAGTAAGGGGAATCAGGGCAATAAGCATTCTACCCAGCCATCCCAATAAATGGTGGGACTATAGTGGTTGCTTTTGTAGACATTGTGAGACATTGCTCTTCAGTAGTAAGGGTTAAGTTGCAATTATTGCTAATCCACTGTTGTTTCAGTGAGCCGGTCCCTTCAGATGCATCCTGAATACAAAGAATTTGAGAACCACTACTCAGGAAGTAGAGCAGGTCATTACGTGTAGACTCTTATTTCCTGGTAGCTGCTGCCCCTGGCTAAAGTCCAGATGCTCAACTTTCTCATTGATTGAGCACCTCCTCTTTGTCAGGCACTGTAATTGCCATTTGCAATACAGACACAATTCTTGCTTTCAAACTCACAGCCTGGCAAAGAGATAGATCAGCAATATATACGCAGAGGCATAGACAGCAGGAATAGCAGTCATAACCTTTTCTTAAGGAGGTGGTAGTTTCCAAGCATTTATAATTCACACACACACACACACACACACACACACACACACACACACACACGTGTGCACATAAACCCAACCCTACAAGCCAAGTATAATTACCCTGCTGTTTCAGATGTGGAAACTGAGGTTGGGAGAAATCAATTAGCTTCCTTAAGTTTTTACAGCCCACAGAGGCTCAGTCTCAAGTTCTTTTTGTCTATACCAAGTAACTACCTGTGCAAGAGCTGAATAAATAATAGCATCAGAGTGAAACAAGGGCCACCAGACACAAAAGGGGAATGACTACGTCTTGAATCAGAACTTTAACCTTCAGAGCAAGATGCAAAGGTTCAGCTTTTTGTTTACTTTGTCCCTGTAGGGTGAAAGCAGAGCTTTGTTAGTGTAGTAGGCTGGAAATCTGACTCAGGTTAGTTATGGTTAGCATTCCTTCCATTTCTGCCCTCCCACTCCCCCTCCCCCTCCCCCTCCTAATACTGGAAGTAAACATCATACTTGCTTAGGGCATCGGGTGGGGGTAAGGAAAGCCTTCACAATAGGTCTGCTGTTGTGCAAAGAATTCTAGAAGATGCAGATCTAGGCTGTGGCAACATGCAGGGCCTCAGGGCCCAACCCATCAAGTCTATTCTGTGTCTGAGCTGGGGAATTGGTCACCGTATTTGCCATCAGCTCAGTACTCTGTTTAATGTTCTTCCTGGTTAAGCACTCAGCACAGAGAAACACCCTAGGAGACCTAACTCAGGCAGGTCTGCTCTCAGTTACCTAAGGGTGTTTAAGCCGAACAAGGGTATAGCAGGGCTCCCAGCCCCAAGACTGTTCATATGTGGCTCATTGGCCCACTCAGCAGGGTGAGCTAAGAACAGTGAGTGGACGAGTTTTCACCAAAAGAGCCCAAAAGATCAGAGCAAAAGGCCTTAGTAGTGGTCTTGTTTCCCAGGTTATGCTTTTGGGCTAAAGTCTCAGGGTTCAGCTTGCCTTTGTGCCAGAGGATCAGGGAGACCCCAAGGACACTCAGCACAGAGATGTTAACCAGCACAGAGACATTCTGGACAACCTATGAGAGAGTGAGTCAGGTTTGGAGAGTGGCTCAGCTCTATATTTTGGGAATCTTGCATGATATCAACACACCAGCAGCACTGTTGGCTCTATATTTTGAATGGAATTCAGGGAAAAAAGAAATTTATAAAATTCTTTCAACAGGTGCCCCAGCTGGTACTAAAATGGCAAATAGAGAAAGAGAGAGAGAAAGTGTCAGTGAAGGATGAAGAGGCATATCTTACCTTGTGGTGCAAAGATATGCTTGGGAAACATGGGCTTCTCCACGGAATGTGAGAAAACTGAACAAATGCTTCGATGGAGCAACAGGTGAAGGTTTCATTAGAGTTGTGATTTGATGACACGTAGCATCAGGTTTATATTAGTATTAGATTTTATTTTGATAGTGTTATAAGTGACTCTAGACCTTTAAATCATCAAGAGTCAGAAGGGTTCACTTAACCTTTTCAGTGATACTCAACTATGCATCTTAGGGGAAATTTTGTTCTCTTGTGAAGTCAGCAATGGGGGTTCCACTGGTATATTCTGTTTTTGACCTCTTAAACTGTGTGTGCCTTGAGGAAGAAAGTGGGGACTTTTTAAAAAAAAAAAAAAATCTTTGTTTCCTCTATGCCTGGAAGGGGCAGGGCCAGGATGAGGTGTAGGGTGTATAATATCGGGTGGCACTCTCTCTTAGGGTTGTGCAAATGAGCTCCTTCTTAAATTTTGCACTCTTGGTGCCTCAGTGACCTCAGCCTAGTCCTGACTCTGAGGTCAAGGGCAGTGCAGAGAGGATTTTCTCTCACACTGTTCTGGGGGCTGGAAAGTCCAAGATCAAGGTGCTGGCAGATTTGGTTCCTGGTGAGGGCTCTCTTCCTGGCTTGCAGATGGCTGCCTTCTCACTGTCCTCCCCTGACAGACAGTCTGGTCTCTCTTCCACTTCTTATAAGGCCTCTAATCCCATCGTGGAGGCCCCACCCTCATGATCTCATCTAAACCTAATTACTTCCCCAAAGGCCCTACACCTCCAAATATCACCACATTGGGAGTTAGGGCTTCAACATTTGACTTGGGCCAGGGACAAAGGGGGGACAAACATTCGGTCCATAATGTAATGTGTTTACATAACACATTTTGAGTCCCTGCTGTTGTACAAAAGTCTGGTCACCGTAATAGAATTCTAAGATGGCTCCCAAGATGCCTGCCCCCTGGTGTTCACGCCCTGAGTAGTCCCTTCTCCTGAGGGCCTGAGCTAACCAGGCGAGCTCTCTAAAAGAGAATCTAGAGGTCAGGAGATCAAAGAAGTCAGAGAGATTGGAAGCAGGGGAGGAATTTTCCTGGGGCCTTGAAGGAGCTAACAGACATGTGGTAAGAGAGCCACACAGTGAGGAAATGTGAGGGGCCTCTGGGGGGGGGCTCAGACCCATCCCCGGTGACAGCCAGCAGGAAAGTGGGAACCCCAGACCCACGACCACAAGCAACTACATTTTGCTGAGAGCCACGTGAGCTTGGACGAGGATCCTACCCCTCAGATGAGACCTCGGCCCAGCCGACACCTTGAGGGAGAACCCGGTCACGCCAAGCCCCACTTCTGCTCCTCTGTCCTGCTCTGCTCTTCTGCTCTGCTGTCCTGTTGGCTGTCATTGGGGATGCTCTGAGCTCCTAGGGTGATCTTGAACTTGTGTTGTTTTAAGCAGCTAAGTGTATGGTAATTTATTACATGGCATAGAAAGCTAATATAATCTTCTTTCTGCGATGCATCAGTCCACATCTCCTGGGTATCTCTGTCTCATCAAAAACAGCTTTTATTTGGCTGTTGCTTATATTTTTCCCTTGCATTAATACATAACCTCCTTTTTCCTTCTTTTTCTTTTTTCTTTTTTTTTTTCCCCCTACTGTTTCCTTTGGGAATTTACATAGTCATTCAAATCTGCTCCACACACATTGTTATTTGAACGTTCACAGAAAACTATGCTATCTCCTCCCTGCCCTCTGCAAGGCAGCTCCAGGGCACCCATAACAGCGAGGCCACTGTTTTCATCCTTCCAACCCTCGTTCGGGGCTTCCAAAGCTTAACATCATGTTTATTACATAACAACGAGACATAAGCCAAAACAACTTGCTGCTGGGCTTTTAAATATAGCAGCAGCAAAAAATCTTTTCTGGGCTTGAGGAAAACCACTTCAAATGTCTCCTAATTTCAGCAATTTTCTGGTCTATGGAATAAAAAGTCTAAAAATGGCTCTGAAGGTATTTAAGTGCGCGCACAGCGAACCCACCACCCCGCTGTCAGACGGTGACGGTGACAGTGACGCAAGGGGCGGCACGTGGGGAGGGGAGCTGCATGCTCTCGGCTGCTGGCACCGGCAGCGGCCTCTCCAGGGATGCTGCCTGTGCGGTGAGCGCTCTCCAAGGAGAAAAAGGAAAAGTCTTGGACGTGGAACCCTTCAAAGTTGGCTCCATGGTAACGTGACTCAGTGGCACAGAGCTTGTTCTTCCCTTTTGTTCCCTTTTCTGGTTGCGGGGACCCTTAGCAGTTGTGTTCATCTGGAGGGCTCAGTTAGTGGTAAGCGTTCAAGAACCCAAATCAATCTGGCTTCAGAATAGAGGATTTCTTGGCTCCTGTGATGGATTGAATGAAGGTTGTGCCATGTCTCTTGACCTCCTCTGTGTTAGTTTTATTCTGTGGCTCCGACTCCCCCTACAGGGAACCCCACCCTGAATCGCTGAGCTACCCCGTGGGAAAAGGGTGCCTCTTTCCTCGACTCCGGCCATCTACCCTAGGCCGACCGGTTGGGCTTGGGTCACATGTCCTCCCCTTAAATCAGTTCTGTGGCCGAGGACATGGAACCCATTGTTTGGCCAGGATGGCCAAGATGGGGTGCGTGTGCCCCTCCTACAGCAGGAGTATGAGGTTGCAAGGACTGAGAGTGGGGGAAGGGCGGGTCCCAGAGGAACACCGGGTGCTGTGGCCAGGGAGGAGTGGACGCTGGGCAGGCCAGAACCACGGATGTCTCTGGCTGCAGGCCCTACTCCATGCGGGCTTTAGTTGGGAACGCCTGAGGCCCGGAGAGGCAGTGGGGAGCAGAAATCTCTCCCCACCTCTATGCTTCTTCACGTTCATTCCTCTGAATGTCCCCACGTCACCCAGGGCCCCAGCGGGCTGAAGTGGAGTCGAGGTGGAAGTGCACCGTGCAGGTTTTCTCTGTCCCGGGTTCTCTAACGTCTCTTTCGGCTCACAAGGGGGCGGGAATTTCTGTGCCCCCTCCCTGTGTTGCTCTGAGAGTGGGCCGCCTTCCCCCACCACACGGGGAGTCCCAGGGCCACGTGAGGACTTCGTGTGGGAGGCCTGGCTTGCCGTGAGTGGGAGTCGTACGCAGCAAGAAGTGGGGAGGCTGCAGAACCCCGTGTCCCAGGCTTTTGGGGCCCACACTGCTCCTCCAGCTGTTGCTTCTCTCCATGGGCTCACGGGGTTGCTCCGTCCCCACTCACGCTGTCAGATCTGCCCCTAGGAGGGCCTCTCCGCACCCTCTGTGCACGTTCCCTGTGCACGTTTCAGGGGTGCCGTGACCCCTACTTTCTACCAGCTCTGGCCCAGGCCAGAATGAACAAAATCACCCCCTGAGTGTTCAAAGTGTACCCTCCACTCCCTTGGGCACATTCTATTTCTGCTTAGCTAGAGAGACTTCCCTATTCCATCAAAGGGTTAAATGCTTTTTGGTGGGAAAGGCAGATTTTCCCTATACAAGACACATGTTTGAAAACTGGGCTTTTAGCAGTTGGGTGTACTAGGTACAAAAGAAAAGTGCCAATTAGTTTTGCTGAATTTTATTCATGTTGGGGTTCATCATAAAACCACCCTAATATATCCCAGTGCACCTTAGATGTAACCTAGTGGGATAATGTATTGAATTCATGATGCTTAAATCATCGATTTTATATTGAACATGAGAAATGTGATTGAATGATTCATTTATGTAGCAAACCTGTACTGTTAAGTATTTACTAAGTGTGTGGTACTGAGCCAAGAGATACAGAGGTATTTAACACTCATTTCTTCTCCTCCAAAAGTTTACAATCTACTAGATGAAGCACGTGCCTAGCACAAAAATAGCTAAATACGGTTTTATACCAGAGTCGGTCTGTTTCTTTTAAAAGACAGCTTACGCTAAGTTCACCTAACTGCTAGCTTGAGGGGGTTTTTACTGAAATTAGCAGGGTTTAGCTCAGTTGTCTGGTATAAAAAGGGCCACTCAGAAGCTCTGAATAGCAGAAAAGATTCCGGAGGGTGGGGAGGGAGCTGTGGCATTGAAAGGAATCCTTTCGCTTCACAGTGAAGTAGGAGCCTCTGACTGCTCTGAAGGAAGCCGCGAGAAACCCAGTGAGGAAAATGACTAAATCAGCCTTTTAACAGGGCAACATGCAAGTGGAAAAGAAGCAGGGACATCAGAGTATCAATGGCGCATTCACTGTTTGGAGATCCTATTGGTGAGAAGATAGTGCGGAGAATGTGCCATATTAAGTCAGAACCAATGGATGTCTCACGTTGAGGTGGCCACGATGAGGGGATGTATGCTGGGCATCGACAGGGTCTGCCACGGCCACCAGGGAGACGTGGTCTCAAGGACGTGGGCCCTAAGTCTAAACATCTCTGGAAAGAGCCCTGGTTGGCCTATCTTGGGCCTCCAGTCACCCTTGGACCAGTCAGCTGGGACATGGAGAAGGGTTATGTTGTACGAAATAGCTGGGAGTCTGTAGTGGCCGTGCCCATGGGTTGGGCTCCAGGGAAGGTCACTGTAAGAAGGGTGTACTAACCGGGTGAGGTGGGGGGCTAATCCTAGAAAAAGAGTGTCCAGTATGCCTGACTTTAGCTAGAGAAATTTCCATAGCTCAACTTTAATTTTTCTGTCACTCAGCACTGAGTTGCCCTTGTTGCTTCTAAGACTCTGACATTAAGCCCCAGTTCTGAAAACCATGGGCCATGGATTCGACAGCAATGCCCACCTGGGCTGTTGGAACTGGGTGTGTTCTTCACCCTGCACCATGTGCGTCCCCACTTCTGTAACGTGCCCCAGAACTCAGTCCTTCTAGAGTAGGACTCCTCGGGGACTACAGTCCTTCCCCTGAACCTGGGGGACTCCTCCGCTGGGGGACTCGCCTGATGCCAACTACAGGACTCCCTGCCGCTGCTGGATTCCCAGCTGCCGTGCCGTTAGCTCCCTGTCTGCCCCTTCCTGCCGCCCAGCTATGACGCCTGCCTCGCAAAGGCTGCCTGCAAGGCACAGCCCCATGTGAAGGATTTACAGAGGTCTGTCCCAGGGAGAGAAAGAAAAGACTGAGAGAGTCATGTTCCTGGAGGCAGCCGGCACCAAAATTGTCAGGGAGAGCCGGGTGACCCCAAAAGATCATGTGGGGAGTTCTCATACTTTTCATGACATCTCTCCATACTCTTGGCAGAGGGAGTCTGAGCTGGCTGACGTGGGTGGGTGGAATAAGAAAAGAGTGAAGACTTGACAGCTTCAAGCACCAGACAAACAAAATCTCACTGTGATTCTATCCATTACTGCGGATCTTTGGCTAATTTATGAAAATGCCTCAAAACCACATGCAACATGCAAATCACATGCAAACCGACACACTGCCTTCCAGTGCTTTCCATTTTCCTGGACGGGACCCTTCAGAAACCTCCCTGGGGAGGGTCTCTGCCATCTCCTCCCCTCCCCAGAGCATTGTAGAGGGGGAAAAGGGCTACGAGTGAAGCTCGGCAGTAGGCTGACAGTGGGAGCCACTTCTCAGACCATCAGAACCGCCTCCAAGGATGTGGAAGGCCAGCTAAGCACTTTGAGGCTTGCCGGACTCCCGAGGCTGGCCTCCGAGCCACAGGCCACGGCACAGCCATCGAGCCGCGACGCCAGAGTGGTGTGTCAGAGAAGTTTTCTCCTACTCTCTGGGGAATAAAGAAATGATCAAAGCACCTGTTTTTTTAAAACTTCAGGGATATAAGGAGACCATGATCTCCAAGGTACGCAAGTCCTTGGTCTTTAGAAAGAATCACTAGACTTTTTTAAAAGCTAACTCTCATAGTTCATAATAATATATTGTACACTTGCAAATTGCAAAGAGAATAGATGGTACGTGTTCGCACCACACACACAAAAAAAGTGTGTGAGGTAATGCATATGTTAAATAGCTGGATTTAGCCATTCCACAATGTATATCATGTCAAAACATCATGTTTTATACCATATGTATAGACACAATTTTTACTTGCCAATTAAAAAAAAAAAGGCTAACTCCCAAAAGGAAGGGGTGGTAGAGACAGTGCTAACGCCCCATACATTTCTTTGTTCTTTTTGTTCTGAGTGTCGACAGTCAACTGCTGTAGTTTGGTGGAGGTGGCGTGGCCCGGTAAAAGGAAGGTGGGTCTTGAAGGCCGACAGTGTGGGAAGGATCCCAGCTGGGCCCTTTCCTTGGCCAATTTACATAACATAACCTCTTGAGCTGCAGTCTCATCTAGAAAGTGGGTATAATAATGGAATGATAATGGCTGATGTGAAAAATCAGCCGGAAGAATGCAGGCCAGCCCTTAGCCCAGTGCTCAGCACGTGGAGGAATGTGAGGGAGACGAGTGTCTTGTGAAAGGGAGAGGGTGCAAGGTCAGCAGGATGAAGGCGGCACCTAAGGAGGGCGTCGTGATGGGGTCTCGTCCATTTCACAGTGAGCTCTGTGAGGTCTGGTGAGGTCCTGCTCATCCCGGAGCTGCCAGCAGCAAGCCGGGGCCTGGGGCAGAGCAGCACTCAGGAAATGCTTGGCAGACTGCATGGAGCCGTGGCTGGGCCCTAGTGTGGGGAGAGATTTGCAGAAAGGGAAGGAAGACAGGCGAGAAAGGAAAGGACAGAGAGGCAGGCGTGAGGCAGCAGGAGGGGACAAACGCCACAGAGAGTGACAAAGCCTGAACCATGGAGATCCCAGATGATAAATTCTGACTGTGCCCTATCTTTGGGGCCCCCATAAAATTAATGGACTGGTGATGGAATTGTTTCAAAAGTGCTTTGGAAACCAGATGGGAAGCTTATGTAATTGTTTTCACTTGCAAGCTCAAGTGAAAATAATGAGCCCTCTTCCTGCCTGCAGGGGAAGAAGGTTCAGGTTCAACCATCCTCCACCTTTCTCTGTCCACCGCTGCTGAGACAGAGCCCTGCCGTCCACCCTGCAGATGGCCTTCTCAAGTGCCACCTCCTCTACGTCCTGGGCAGCTGGGGAGAGGGCGTGGGGGCGAGTGCTGGGAGGTAGGGCAGGGCAGGGAGAACTGGATGTTCCGCTGTCTCAACGAAACACATCCCACATCTCCTACCAGAGGCAAGGAAAACATCAACTGCAAGCCCAATTCTGAGGCTGGGTGTGGGATGGGCGGGGGGTAATTTTAAGCCTTAAAGAGAAGTTGTAGTTATACAGTATATGAAAGCTGTTGGAAAACTGTAAAGTGCTGCACACATACAGTCGTCTTTTGGTATCCATGGGAGATTGGTTCCAGGACAACCTCCCCAGCAGATACCAGAATCCACAGATGCTCGAGTCCCTGCTATAAAATGGTGTAGTATCCCGTGTACTTTAAATCATTACTTATAATACCGAATACAATGTAAATGTCATGTAAATAAGTTTTGTACTGTATTGGTTTTTAAATTTGTGTTATTTTTATTTTTTTATTGTGTTTTTTAAAATATTTTCAATCTGTGGGTGGTTGAATGCACAGATGTGGAACTGGCAGATAGGGAGGCCTGACTGTGTAATGTTTGGCTGCTATGAATGTGGGAAGAAAAACAAACACCAGACCAAGGGATATGGCAGGATCCTTCCACCTGCTTTGCTGTGCACCCTGTCTTAAGCAGGCCCACCAACCTCTCTGGACTTTAGTTTCTCATCTGCAAGACAAAGTTAGGCTCCCTGGCCCCACCCATGGTCAAGAACCATTCCTGTGAGCTCCCATGCCATGCCCAGATTTTTGCTTGGTCTGAATTTCACTCTATCTAGTGTGCAATTTTTTAAAAAAACTTCAGCTAATTGTTGTCCACACAACTCTTGACTCAGCAGATTTTAAGCTCCGTGAAGACAGGAGCTAGTGGGGAACATAGTCAATAGTTATTCATTTTCAATCATCCACTTACGTATAATTGCTCCAAAAATACAGCAATAAGCAACTCAGACAAAATCCCTGCTCTCTGAGTTTGCTTTCTGGCGGGGAAGATAGGTCATAATGACAAAATATAATATAAACAAGAAAAGTAAAAGCTAGCAGCGCTTGACAAAAATTAGCTAGGCTTGGTGGTGTGTGCATATAATCCCTGCTACTTGGGAGGCTAAGGCAGGAGGATCATTTGAGCCCAGGAATTTGAGATTGCAGTGAGCTGTGATGATATCACTGCACTCTGGCTGGGCCCTGGCAACAGAGCAAGACTCTGTCTCAAAGAAAGAAAAAAAAGAAAGAAAAAGGAAGGAAGGGAGGGAGGGAGGAAGGAAAAGAAGGATAGCAGGACTCCTGTGTTGCACACCTGCACGGGGCACTATGTGTGTCAAATACAATGTCAATGGCTCTTTCTGGAGTTGTGCAAAGGCAGCTGCCCTGGTGATGCTGTATCTGTAGGGTTTGGCCCAATGCCTGATACGTGGTAAGCATTCCGTAAATATTTGTTCAAGAATGAGTGAATGAATAAGTGTTGTTAATGTGTTAAAGTCTTTCAATATCCAACTATATCTAAGTTTCTTTCCTTTGCATACATTTGCTACCCCTTGGAGTTAGGAGGGCCATGTGACTGATTCTGCCCAGCAAGACGTGAGCAGAAGTGCTGGGATTCACTTCTGGAGGGGTGACCCTCTCTAGCTGTTTCTTCCCCCACTGCAGTGAGCAGGGCAGCTACAAGATGGCAGATTCTCCAAGCCCTGAGCCCCTGAGTGATTCTGTGGAGCAGAGCAGGCCCTCCTTGGATACAAAGCATTTGCAAGATAAGCCTTTGTTTTATGTCAAGCCACTGAGATTTGGGAGTTGGGGTCAGGGGACCCAACACAGAGTGATCATTATATGTTTATAAAAACTGATAGAAGAAAGAGTAACGCACTCTGATTCATACATATCATCAGTGTCTTTTCCCTTTGCTCGAATTCCTCAGCTCTTAGGGAACATAGTGGCTAGACCGTTCTTTTCCAATGGGTGGGTTTCCTTTTCCCCCTGGGGCTCTCTCTGAAGCAGGTGAGGTAATGCTGCCCTTTTCCACACTGGAAAAACACACTAGTTTCTTTCCATGTGACTCAAACAATCTGGAGGAGGGACAGAGGAAAACTCTAGGCCCCCGGAGTTGGAGCCAATAGGGTCTTTGCCTACTCTAGCCCCTTCAGTGTGGTTTGCACGAGACCGAGAGACGCTTGTCTCTTGGTACAGAGCAAAGTCCCCCCAGGGCTGGGGATGAACTGTTACAGATCTATTTCCTCAGACCAGGGGTTCTCAAACTGGCTTGCATCTGAATCACCTGGTGGGCTTGTTCAAATGTAGGTTGTCAGCCCTCACCCCCAGAGTTTGCCATGTGGTCCATCTGAGCTGGGGCCTGAGAATTTGCATTTCGAACAAGCTCCCGGGTGACGGGTGCCGCTGCTGCTGCTGGGTCAGGGCCTATACTTGGGAACCGCTGCCTACCACCGCTGCTCTGCCGCTCAGCGTCAAGAGTAAACGCAACACCTGTGAGATCAGCGCTACACCCTGCTATTCACCACTAAGGACACAGGAGGAACTAAATGTTTGCAGATTATTCAGGTCAGAAGGGGAGAAAGGATGGAGGAAAGGTAAGTTTCAGGGAGGGGCAGGCCTGGGAAAGAATCGGTTTGAGGGCGGCTGCCAAGAGAGAAGGCACTGGTGAGTGTCTTAAAGGAAGGTCCTGGGATTGAGAGCCACCTGGGGACAATGTGGGTGCAGAGGTGGCCATGGAGAGACAAATTTGAGTGCTGATAATTGGACAGTAAAAAGAGCACTGGGCTTGGACTCCAAAAACCTGCAGCACTCTCCCACAAGGCCTTGCAGCTGCTGGCATCAGCCAAGATGAGGCACTGTGAGGTTAGTCCATGCAGACCCAACAGCTCGTGTGGGGAGAACCTGCTAGGTTCTGGGTAGGAAAGCCCTTCCTGAGACACTGTGCCCAGCGCACTCTCCGCACCAGGCCTGAGACCGGGGCGGAAAGCCACCAGGCAGTGCAGAGTGCTCCAGCATCTTCCTGCTGACTTATTCTCCATGGTCCCCAGCAGAGCTGTGCTGCGCCAAGGGTTAGCGTAGGTGGCCATGACTCACTCAGCCTCATGAGGAAGCAGATGCTGCTGCTGCAACCAGCGCTGCCACGGAAACAGGCTAAATACATCCCGGATCCCTGTGGAGGGCAGAGAAGGAGCTGCTGCAGCCAGTGAGTGGGGTGGCTCTGGTTTTGGTCTGGTTCAGCCACCGCAGTGGCGGGCACAGCCTGCACCCAGCTGTGGGCTACAGAGCCGGCTGAGGGACCCGGGATGGGAACAGCAGCATCGGAGACTTGTGCAGTGACTGGCACATCTGGCAATGGTGGTACCGTGGGCAGAGTTCACATCGATCCCGCTCCTAAAATCTATGGGATATTTGTGCGTATTGTTGGGAGAAGAGAGGAGACCCTTCCTCTTGACTCTTTTCTCTCTCCTATTTGGAAAAGCCCAATTCCCTCACTAGACAGCACAGAGCAGCCCTCTATCCCAACTGGCCAGAAACATACTCCTGAGAACTGTCGCTTTTGTTATAAACCAAAAAAGGGAAACTGAGGCCAGAGGGTTCAATGATTAACCAAAGCTCCACAGCTTTTAGAGGCTGAGTCAAGCTGAGTTCCTGGTATCCCGAGCACCAGACCACTGGACACTGCATCCCAAGGAAACCACTGGATGGGCCTTGGGGAACTTGGTTTACCATGAACATCTGCTCTCGGGGGCAGTGGGTGGTGCTGTCAATAATGTACCCTGCTTTTCCCAAGAGTGACAGTGAGTCTGTAGCCAGCTTTCCCCACCTCCAGCAACTGCCAAGCCAGGCTAATAAGTTTCCATTGGCTCTACCAATTAGATGGTGGAAGTCCCAAGAGTGTCCAGGTTTGCCTTTCACTACAGGGTCAGGAACGGAGCCAGAATGGAGCCTTTTGGGTTTTCAGACCAGCCTTCCCGGGGCAGGGGAATGTGTAAACCTGGTGGTTCTTGCACCGTTTCTCCAGAAGTCCCCCTCCCTGTTCCCAGCTGAGAGAACTGGGCCTAGTGAGCCCAGTCCCCAAGGCTCCCCAGCAGCCACCTCAAACCTTCCTCCTCCTTAAGCCCCTTGTCATCAGAGGGGGCTGTGCGGGACCCTCTCTCTCCCATCCAAGTAGTAACTAGGCCTGACCCTGCTTAGCTTCCGAGATCAGATGAGATCGGGTACATTCAGGGTGGTATGGCTGTAGACAGGACCCTCTCTCTCTACCTTCCCCTTAGAGCTCATGGGTGGAAGAAAGGCCGCTGGATGGGCCTCCCCCCTTTTCCTGCCTTCCTCTCCCCCTCCTGTTTGGGGACAATCCCTGCGACTGCATCCTGAAGCCTCCCCTCCCCTCTGTGTCTTTGCTCTGTTAATTATCTCCCCTCTCCCAGTCATTCGCTTTACCCTTTCTACGGGACCCTTCTCATCAACCTATAAATGTGTTTTTTTCTCTTGCACATAAAAGCAAAAACCACTAAGCCAAACGTGTTCCACCCTGGTTGCTCTCCTCTTTCTGAAAAGCTTCTCATCCAACTAACCTGCATTTTTTGCCTCCCTGTTCTTATCTCCCAATCTCTCTCCGTTACTAGCTAGCTGTGTAAGTTGAGAGAGTTATGTAACTTCCCTGAGCCTCAGTTTATTCATCTATGAAGCAAGAATAATACCCTCTTTGCAGGGTTGTTGGGAAAATGAAATGAAATGCTGTATGCGGTGCACCCGGCACGGTGTTTGGCTCGTGGGCGGTGCTGGGTAAACGGAGTGCCTGTTCCAGTTACGCCAATCCAGTGCTGTCTGAATTTTGCCCTTTCCGGTTTCCTGAAATTGTTCCTGCAAGGTCACCGAGAGCCTTCTACAAGGTGTCTCCCTCAGTTCCCACCCTACTTGACCTCTCTTCAGCATTCATTGACCAGAGCCTCAGTCTAGAATTTTCCTCTCCCTATCTGCTCCTTCTCCATCTCTTTCCCTGACTCTTCCTCTGCCCATCCCTGAAATGTCGATGTGCCCCGGTCTCTGTCCTTGTCCTTCTCATTGCACATTCTCCTGGGCCTTCTCTTCCCTATCCGGATCCTACGCATGTCTTCCTGATTAATCTTCATACAGCATACAGAGTCCCAAGTGGTCACTCCCTTGCTCAGCAGTCCTCAGTGGCTCCTCTCTCCCTCAGCAGAAAATCCTCTGTCCCCAGCACTGGTCCACAAAGATCTCCAGTGCTGGATTCTAGTTCAAGGGGACCTCAAAAAGTTTGTGGGAAAGTGGAAATAAAAGATACAAATAAAAAGTATAAACTTTGTTTCTCAACATAATCTCCGTCAAGTTCAAGGTACTTGTAAGTGATGATCCCAACCATTCACTCCATCCCTAAAGAGTTGAGGGTCCTGGGATTTAACCATGTGAATGCAGCCTTTTTTACATTATTGACTGAAGAAAAATGGGTCCTCTTTACAGATTTTTTTTTTTTTTTTTTTTTTTTGCAATCACACAAGAGGAGGTTTATTTTCTGGCTAGCCAGGGTCCAAGCCCCAGAGCACCAACGCAGTGGCCACTCTCGCAGGCAAGGACCCTCTTTACAGATTTTTTAAGATTAGGAAACAAAAAGATCAGAAGGAGCCAGATCAGGACTGTAAGGTGGATGCCTAGTGACTTCCCATCAGGAGCACAAGACCTCGACCACCCAGTGCGTCTGGCCCTGGCCGGGACGGGGTGAAGCTGTGAAATGCAGCTAGGCTTTGCAGAGGGGAGGCTGGCCACCCCGGTCAACCTGCCAGGGTCGCAGTAGAGACTCCGAGCATCGTGCACACAGCAATGGAGCTCCTACTCCGACAGAGTGCCTGGTGTCAGGGTTTTGGAAGGCAAAGGCCCTGCCCAAGAAGACCTTGGAGTGCAATGGATGAGGCAGAGATTCTCAGAAAGCAACACGCAGTAAGTGCCATAACAGAGGCTAATGCCATTTGCTAAGCGAGTATGGAGGAAATTGATTACCACTGGAGAAACCAGGGAAGGCTTCAAGGAAGAGGAGCCAAGTGGCCTGTACAGATGCCAGGGCAGAGAACTCCTATTTGAGATCTTAGGAGGAAGCTGGGTCTAGGAAACCAGGAGCCAAGTGGGTGAGACAAACAGAGGCTCGAGGACCGAAGTGCTGCAGAAGCACAGGCAGCTCCTCAGCCCGGAGACCGAGTCAGTGTCCTGGAGCCTCGAGCCCAGACCAGGTGAGAGTGGAATCCACCTTCACACAGCTCAGGAACCATCAACGCTTCCTGGGAGACCCAAGGATCCCTGTCCTGCATTTTTGCTCCATTTCATGGGCCATTCAGTGCATTGGGATGATCCTACTGACTCAAAGGACCGGGATCCCTGTAGATGGGGAATAGGATTTCCAAAGGTGGAGATCAGACATGATGAGTGGGAAAGTAGGGGCTGACATGCCAGTGCAGGTCCCAGTGTGGCAACAGGCCCCAGGTGGGACACAGAGTCCACAGTTGGAGGCAGAGATGCTGCCAAGTCTGGTGTGGTTGTGCTTGAAGAGGGTGGGGGTTAACAGGAAAAGCAAGGATGGAAAGCAGCGAAGGCCTGGGCTTAATGCACACCAAGCCGTGTGGATGTCATTCTGCAGGCAAGGGGAGCCATCGGCTGGTTTTGAGAATGTCTCAATGTGGCTGATGACTCCAGCAACAGTGTAGGGAAACTCAAGAGAAAAAAGACCACTTGGAAACAAGTAATAGAAACCTTAACTAGAGTGGAGGTAGTAGAGAATAAATGACAGATCTGAAAGGAATTGTGGAGGTAGAATCAAAAATACCCAGTGATGGGGTGGGTCTGATATGGTCCATGGATACATTTTATTTGATCACTGGATTTTTATAATGCACTAACCTCTGTAGGAAATGATATTGCTCCCAATTATTCAGTGCCCTGTCCTGTGGGAGGCATACGGGTTTCTCGCTGTTGACATCAGAGCTGGCTATGTGCTTTGCTTTGACCAATTCAGGGTGAAGAAATCACAGGTGCTCATTGTTTTTGACATGTGGTTCAATCATTCATTGCTCCTTTTCTTTTGCTATAAGAACAGCATGCCCCAGATGAGGGCTGCCTCTTCAGCCTGGATCTTAGAACAAAGAAGTCCTGTGGACAGGGCTCAGCAGCCCCGAGCCGGGGGCAGGGCCGCTGTTGACCTGCAGACGGCACAGAACGCAGCGAGAGGAACCTGTGTGGTTGCAGGTCACTGGGAGTTGGGGCTCTTCCTCACCACGGCACAAACTAGGAAAGGCTGTTGGATGCAGCTTCTGCTGCTTAAAACTTTAGAAAGTTCACATTCAATTCTAAATTTCCAGCTTCTTTTGAAAAGATCAGATTTGACGTCATGGAGCTCTGGTTGTCACTTGGCCATCGGTGGCCTGAGCTGCATAGTACCTGCAGCTCTTAGCTGGAGCCCGTGTCTCCCATGAGCCACCGTCCTCACCACTCTTCCCTGCCCTAGCCAGGGTCTTTGGACCCAATCTCCAGGTCTCACTAAGACCTGTTTGTGCTGCGCCCCAGCACTGTGCCCTTTGTGGATCTCTGAAGAGATGGGAAGCTGCCTGCCACCAGCCTGGGACTCCAGAGAGGCAGCCTCTCCGTAGTGGCAGTCCAACTATGTGACCCAAGACGATGCCACTCCCCCTCTCCATGTCTCTGTTCTTGTTCTGTGAGTGAAAGGAGGTTCAACCAGGAAATCTCGGGGCACCGCCCGAGGTGGCACTCTGGTTGAGACCCAGATGGGCCCCTAGAATCTGAAGCCAGGGGAGCTGCTTCAGGCCTAGCAGATTCCCCCCACCAGAGGCTGCAGGAGGACATGGCCGATAGAGAGGTAGGTGGATAGGACTGCACTCCCCTTCCACCCTCGCTGACACTCTCGTGAGTTTCAGAAGGAATGGATCCTCAGATGTTACCTGATAGGGGATAGGACCGGTTTCCAGTGGCGGTGCATGACACACAGGCTTCTGGTGCAAGGCCACCTGCCTGGGTCCCTAACGGCACCCAGAGGCTGATCTGAATTGCTCTCGACACGGCCCCCTTCTGTCTAGCCCACGCCAGCAGCCCAGGCCCTCCTGCCCTCCCTCAACTTCAGTGAGGGTTTTGGGCAGCCACTGGCCAGGCCTGGCTGTGGGAGAGGGTTGACCAGTTGGGTTTAATGTAGAATCCATTGTGAATGCCGATTGGCTAAATTTGGGAGATAGGAAAAAACCAGCCAATAGGATCAGGGGCCACGCATGGTACCTCTGAAGAATGTGGGATCCGTCTGGTGCTCTGCCTCGGGGCTTACCGGGAAGGCGTGTCTCTGGACCCTGGATGATTTTCTTTAAAACGAAGAAGAAAAGAAGAAGAAATTACTTAATTTATACCTGAATACATTCCCCTTAAAAAAATAAATCAAACAATGACGATAATCTCCAACATTTATGGAGTGCTTGCTAAGTGCCAGACACCATCATGCTGCGTGACCTGCAAATATCATCTCATTTAATTCTAACAATGATTTTATGAGGTAGAGACTAGCTCCATTTTACAGATGAGCAAACTGAGGCCCAGAGAAAAGGTAACTAACTTGCCCCAGGTCGCACAGCTAGTATAAGGCTGGGTTCACACGCTGGGCAGCCTGACTATAGAGCCAGCCCGTGATCATTGCACTGTATCCAAAGTGAAAAGTGAAAGATCTCTTCACACTTGTTTATATGCCTCAAATATCTCATAATTTTAAAGATTAGAAAAGGGAATACTTCTCTATTCTCCCTTCCCCCAGATCCTCTCTCCAAGGGTAAACACTGCTTATTAATTTTGTGCATATACTTCCAGAACTTTTGAGATACACATGCATGTATATATATCAGATGTATATTAATTACATCAATATTCTAAAATATGTTTTTCACTTAACCATGAGAACTTATCTGTCCTACAGATTTCTCTGCGTTAGTACATGGAGATCTATTCATTTTAGTGCTGCCCAGTATTCTACATTATTAAGGTATGCATACACCATAATTTATTTAAACACTCAAGTATTTCTTTTCATGGACTATTTAGATACCTTCACCCCCTTTTCTTGACAATGATCGCCTTTGTAAATGCTCATGCGTGCATACCCTAAATATTTTTCCATACACTCACCAATATCAGATATTAATCTTTTCTATTCTTTCTAATCTGATGAGCAAAAAATTATATCTTACGATTTTAATGTGCATTTTCTTGATAACCAATGAACTTGAGCAATTTTTCATGTCTACTATTCACTTGTATTTCTTCTTCAATGAATAGCTAAGACTATTTTATATATAACTCTCTAAACTCCCGATGAAAAAGATGTATTTAGAAGTAAGGGAACTGGGGAATTTTTTATGTGAATGACATTGCTATTTGTCTCATGAAAAACTGAATTTATCTCAATGAAAAAATTCTCATTTTAATGACTTTGATATTAATGATACTAACATTTCACAGTAAAATAACTTACAAACTCAGAGGACAATAAAACCCAAACAAAGCTGTCTTAGAAGTTGTTCAAAGGCCCAGTATTGCATTGAGATTTCACAGTACACCACGGTTATACGGTTTCTAAAAATTTCTATAGCCAAAAATTAAAACCCTTGAGTGACAGGGTATTAATGGAATGCATAGGCACAGTTATAGATGCTTTGTTTCCTGGTTTTTCAAAAATATAATAATTGCCAAAATAAAAAAATGTAGTTCACAAAGATTTATGCTTTTCCCCCCAAATTGGTCTTCATGTTGCTGATCACTGCCCTTGCCCGGTTGAGCACACGGATATGTTGTACCAACAGGGTGCATTGGGTTGAATAATGTATCCCCCAAATTCATGTCCACCTGGAACCTGTGAATGTGACATTAGTTGGAAACAGGGTCCTTGCAGACGTGATCAAGTTGAGATGAGGTCATACTGGGTTAGGGCCCAATGACTGCTGTCCCGATAATGAGAGAGGGAGACTTGAAGACACGACACAGTGAAGAAGCCCATGTGACGACAGAGGCAGAGGTCAGCATGAAACAGCTACGAGCCAAGGATGCCAAGGATTGCTGGGAGCCACCAGAAGCCAGAAAGACGGAAGAAAGGATTCTTCCCTAGAGACTTCAGCAGGAACACGGCCCTGCCGACACCATGATCTCAGACTCGTAGCTTCCAGAACTCTGAGCAAATAAATTGCTCTTGTTTTAAGACACCTAGTTTGTAGTCCTTTATTGCAACAGCCCTAGGAAACAAATACATAATGTGCTAAAAAGAAGTTGGACATCAGGGGAGAGTGAGAAGGACATTTCCGTGCATCCTTTGGTGACGTGGGTTCAGGGAGAAGGGTCTTCAAGGACAAGGCACTGGTTCCCACCTGGAAGTTTCTGAAACCTGAAGATTCACCAGGCCTATCGCCTGCAGAGCCATGACATAGACTTGTACTCCTTACACAGATAAGCCCTGATGATATCTGGAAAAAATCAGTACATGGCTAGAAAATTCAGCAAGCTGAGAAGGGTACACATTAGAAAACCACAGGGGAGGTTGCCCTTCCTCTCCGTGTTACAGATGAGGAAGAAGCTCCAAGGGAGAAGACCACCCAGACAGGAGGGTCCTCTGCCACCGGGCTAGGTGCGGTGGCTGACGGCAGGGGCGCTGACTGGAGACCCTCCGCTGGGAGCAGCTGTTGTTATCTTAGATCCCCTGCTTTGGCTCCAGCGCCCCTTCATCTGGAGTTCCAGCAGGATCCAAGGGTCCCAGGGCTGAGAGAAATGACTGAAGTTCTGAGAAACATCTGAGCCCAGTTCTTGCGGCCCCACTCGGGGCCCCTCCCAGCCGCCATTCCCTGCACACCCCACCTCCGCCCCGCCCAGCTCCCTTCACTGCACAGCGCGCTGCAGAGAAAGGAGGTCGGCCCCTGTCGGGGTGCAGCCCCTGTCCGGGGTGCAGACCCTGTCTGGCTCCAGGTCCAGGGAGCTTATCTGCTCAACTTCAGCATCTTGGGCTTTACTGCCCCAAACAACGTGCCGCAGCTCTAAGAGAGGACGTTTATGTTGATGTTAGCAGCCCCTCTGCCACCACGAGCTCAGACAGGTGGTGCATCATGGCCAAGCCCCCCGAGCGCACTGATGGCAACCTGGTTCCATGCTGGAATAACCTGCCCTGGACGTGTGGATCGGGGACCCCCCCTCCTCTATGAAGGCCTGGAGTGTCCCTGCTCACTCTGACACTCAAGGCAGTCCTTGGAGCATGTCACAGACACTACTTGGGTTTTCCGGTGGGCAAACCTTTCTGCAAGGCACTCATTCCTCCACTAAAGCTCACTGAGGCCCTGTGCCAGGGCCTGGGGCGGGGCTGGGCCTGGGGTGGTGGCCGGCCCTTCTGTCTTGCAGGAGGTTGACATGGAGAGGACTTTCAGAGGCCCTGACCGCTGGCTGATGGATTCGCTGCTCTGAAGTCCATCCCCAAAAGCTCTGTCTTGGCTCCCCAGAGTCAGAACGGTGCACGCCAGCCCGGAGCCCGGGAAGAATGGCTGCTTTGAAGCCCCCTTGAAGGGTCTATGAGGCCTTGCAGCATTCTGAACAACTACCTTCCTGTTAAAAATTCGGGGGGCCAGGGATGGAAAAGTTTCTGCCCACAGAAAAGTCCATGTCCTAAGTGTACAGCTTGTTGAATTTTCACACAGTGAACACGCCGGTGGAACCCAAATTAAGAGGTAGGATATCATCCTCACTTACAAGCATCCCCATCCTCCTCACCTCCTTCCAGTCTCCTGCTCGCACCCCGAGATTAACCACTGCCCTCACTTCTTACAACACGGATTTGTCTGGTTTTGAACTTTCCGTGGATGGAATCATAGCATTACTCTTTTGTGCCTGGCTTCCTTGGGGCAGCATTATTTTGTGGGATTCAGTCCCACTGCTCTTGAGTTCTGCAGAAATAGATGCAAGGGGCAAAAGTGGGGGGAGTGACTGTTGACGGGAAGTGGGAAGGTGGGGAGTAATCCAGAAGGTGACCACTATGCTGTGTGGTTCCAAAGGGGAGCTGGTCCTCGATCCGGACTTGCACTTGACCTGGGGAAGTGTCAGACTTGAGGAAGGGAGTCTCGCTGGAATGTGCTGGGGGTGGGAGGCTTCCTTTGAACCTGCTAGACTCTGGACAAGGGAGGAGTTTGCAGGAGTGGTGTGGGGCTCCCCTAGGGGCCTCTTCTGGAATTTTCACCCTGGGCACTGAGGGAGCTGGGTGAGAGATTAGGGGGTGGAAGTTACACTGGCCACCTGAGGAGTAAAGAGCCAGTTTAGACCCTGGTTGCAAAGCAGGGTTTATCTAGCAGAGAATGCACGAGACTGTGCGGCTAAGCCCAGAGGGAGACCCTCCCAGCCTGAGAGCTTGGCCCCTGCAGGCAGTTTTGAGGCTGCTGTGAGCATGCTCTAAATACAAAGCCAGGAGATGGACTTTGGCCTTGGCCCTGCCACTCACCAGCTGCGTGTCTGGGGACCACCAGCCTCGTCAGCTGGGCCTCAGCCCACACTCTGTAAATCGACATCTCTAATGGCAGCCACTTCCAGTAATTTCCTGGAAGTCCTTGGAACCAGAGGGAGGCCTCCAAGGCCTTTGGTTGACTCCTGCAGTTAGTGTCCAGGGCTCAGGCCCGCCCAAGCAGAAAGGGGTGGTTTGCTTTTCTCTGGGCCCCCAGGGAGTTCCTGGGGCTCAGTTCCGCCTGAGCGACTGGCATAGTGGCCAGCGTTTGCTGGGAACACCCCACCCCTGTCCCCCATCAGGAGCTCTGCCCCGTATGGAACTCCCTCAGTCTGGGATGGGGAACACGGTGGGGGAAGAATTTAGAAAAGCTTTGGGAACCCAGAGGCTGCTCACATGCCCACTCTTAGCCAGGGAGTGGCCGGAGGGGGGGTCAGGGAGGAGGCAGCTGGTGGGGAGGAATTGCTGGCCCTCTCTGACTTAATTAGTCCGATATGGGGCTACTCAGTGACCAGTTTTAAAGCTCCCCAGATGATTCCAGTGTGTAGCCGTGGATGAGAACTGCTGTTCTATTGCCACAAGGACAAGGGATTCCTCCAGCAAGCTGCCTGGGCCACTGGCAGCCAAATGAGTTTCTTTGTGAGTAAATGAGGAGCTTTGCCAGGTGAGCTGAGCTCTGAGGGTCCTTCTGGCTCTAGCCTATCAGTCTAGTGTCCCTTCTGTTCTGTTCTGTCCCGCACCCTCTCCTCTCAGAGTCCTCTCTCCCCCTGCCCAGCCAGCCTGCTCTCCTAAAGAGAGTCATTCACACTAATGTGCAAATGACTAGAAAGTTCAGTGTGTTATGGCTCCCAGGGGCCTTGGTATCACTGAAGCGATCTAAGACAGTGGGCAGGGCCTAGGGCATTAGTTGGGTTAGTTTAGAGAAAGGCCACTGCCCTTGGGGCCGGGAGGCCTGGGTTCTAGCTGTGCCCTGTGGGTAGGTCACGCCATGCCTGGCCTTCAGACTCCTCACCCAGTGATGAGGAAAGTAAATGATATGCAAGGCCTTTTATACCTGTTTTTTAAAATATTGTAGCAAAATACACATAGCATAAAATTCACCATCTTAACCATTTCTAAGTGCAGTTCGGCGGCGTTAAGCACATTCACACTGTCGTGCAGCCATCACCACCACCATCTCCAGGACTCTTCATCTTCCCACACTGAAACTCTACACCCACTAAACAATAACCTCTAGTTTTTGGAAAGCTTCAAGACAAAAAGGTTTTTTTTCTTTTTTTTTTTTGAGACAGAGTCTCACTGTGTTGCCCAGGTTAGAGTGCCGTGGCGTCAGCCTCGCTCACAGCAACCTCAAGCTCCTGGGCTCAAGCAATCCTCCTGCCTCAACCTCCCGAGTAGCTGGGACTACAGGCATGCGCCACCATGGCTGGCTAATTTTTTCTATATATTTTTAGTTGGCCAATTAATTTCTTTCTATTTTTAGTAGAGATGGGGTCTCGCTCTTGCTCAGGCTGGTCTTGAACTCATGAACTCATGACCTTGTATGATCCTCCCCCCTCAGCCTCACAGAGTGCTAAGGATTACAGGCGTGAGGCACCACGCCCAGTCAAGAGTAAGTTTTTAACAGCGGAGCTTTGAGGGCTGTTTTGGTGGGGAGAGCCTTTTACAGAGCTCCTCAATCTGCACTGACACATAAAGGCGGGTGCAAACCCCACCTGTGTGAAGTGGAAACACCTGAGTCTCTCCTGCCCCCTCTCCCTAAGGACCGGGCTGTGTTTTCCATGTCCTTCGCCCTTGGCCTCTGTGCCCATTTGGTCCTTGACAACCCAGGGGCAGTTCCCTCTCTTGGATCCCAGGCCCCACGGGGAACAGGCTGTCCTGTGCAATCCCATTTTCTGACCCAGCACGGCTGCGACCAGGACAAGGATGTCAGTACTCACCACACGCCTGACAAGGACAGGGGCATGCTGGAGACACTTCCTGGGGCGCTTCCTCAAGCAGAGACCTGGCCTCCTCAGCCAACAAAGATTCTTGTGTGCTTGTGGGTCGCCCAAGATCCCTGGCAGGGCTTCAGAAGAAGCCTGGCTGCACCTGGAAGGTATCAGGCTATGAGACGTCAGATTCCTCCCGGAAAAGGAAACTCGTCAAAAGTCCTGCGAGCTATACTGAACTCTTAGACCCAATGCCTGGAGAGAGCGCCCTGGCAGGGCCCCCGAGACCATTCCAGGGCTCTGTGCTGGATCATTTTAGTTTAGTCAACAGGAGGTACCTGCAGGGCTCGGCTGAGCCCTCCAAGGCTGCTACAGAGGCTGTGTTGATCCATCAGAGCCACCTGCCCGAGGCTTCTGAGAGGGGTGACCTCAGTGTTGCTGAAGGTCCCCAAGGCACTGCGTCCCTCATCAGAGCAAACACTTTTGCCCACGGCCTGCCCTGGGGAGGGAGGCTGTGCCCGAGCTGCGCTCAGTCCCACCGTGGGCAGGGCAAGGGCAGCCGCCCACCCCGTGTGCCCATCTGCAGAGGGAGCTTGAGTCACCCTGAGACTTGCAGTGGACAGTGGAGACAAGACTCAAACCCTCGCCCTGTGTTCAGTGCCCTAGTCTTAGTGAAGCTTGTTTCAGATTTGTTTAAAGTTAAATATCTGTTTTTTAAACAACAGAATGTTGTCTTTTTACATGGTGTGTGGCTTTAGCTTTGAAATTTCAAAAGCTTTACATTTTTGTTGGCTTCGCCAGTGTGCTGCTTGCTGATGAAGAGGCCCCGTCTTGAGGAGTGGAGCCTGAGGCTCTTCCTCTCCTCAGTTGCTTTAGCCTGACTAAATTCCCGAGCACCGCTCCATTCACTCCATTCGGCCATTCCCCCTGGCACGGCCCACGCTGATGCCCAGGGGTGTTCCGGACACTCTGTCACGGGCTCCAGCCTACCTTCTCAGCCTAATCAGCAGCTGCACCCCACATGGCCCCTGTGCTCAGTCTGCACTTTGGTCCCACATTTCTCACGTGTCCTCTCCTTGCGCCAAGCCCTCCCCCGGGAGTGGCTTCCGTGGCCCTCCTGGCAGCACCTGCACCGGGAAGCCCGCCAGGGCCCCGCGTTGGAAGTGATCCATTAGGGCTCCTCAGGAGTTCACTGGTGCCTCCCGCATGCACCTCCGTGCCCCCTGCCTGGCTGGAGTCATTCTCATACCTGTTTTTCCCACGAGACGGTGTGGTCCTCCAGGGCAGGACTTTCCATTCATCGTCATGATCCCAGTACCTGGCGCACAGCAGACCCTCGGTGACAGCAGGAAATGAACGCACGTCCAGGTGTCCAGTTTGACTCTCTCTCCTGCTCCCACCCCGCCCTGCGGGAAGGAGCTCTGGGGCTCTGTTGACTTGCTTTGCAGTTTGCTGTGGCTTCAGCGGGAATGACCGCGTCTTCCTTGTTATCAAGTGTGGGGCTGGCGGGCAATGCCTCGCGCAGCCCTCGGCCCTCCACAGACACAGGCAGGATGCGCTCCCCTTGGCATCCGCCCGGCGGTGGGGTCCTGACTGTGCAGGTGGCCTTGGGAGCTGCAGCCCTGCGCCACCCCGCCCTTGCCCTGAACCCCAGCTCCCTTCCCAGGCTGGAGGGAAGAAGACCCTCCCTGTCACCCACCCCCCACCCCCAGGCTTTGGAGAAGTGGGGGGAGACATGCTAGCCTTGTTTCTCTAACTTTCCAAGGGGGATCAGGGGATCCCCCGTAACTCAGTCTACAGCCTCAAGCTGTGGTCAGGTGGCAGGAGTCTGCATTTCAGTACCTGCCTGGGACGTCTGGCTGCCTCCTTGGGCTTGAGAGTTGCTGGAAGCCCCACTTCCTCTCCAGGCCCCCAGTGTAAGGATTAGGCTCTTCAAGGAGGGACTGAGAGTTGGAGTCAGGCCGGCTTGTCCTGAGGCCTTGGGGATATGAACGGGACTCTTCCTGGCCCCATGCCCCCAACCCCCTCGTGTTCCCTCCCAGTTAAGCTACACAGTTTCCTTCTTTTTCTTTTTGGCTCATGCCCATTTTCTGCACAGTAAGAATCTGATAGACTGTGCAAATAATATAAGATCTAACTAACAGGGCTTAAACACACAGGATTCATTGTTCTCACATAATGAGGATTCTGTAAATTCATAGTTCTGGGATTATTTTAGTAACTCAACAATGTAACAAAAATCACAGGTTTTTTTTTTCTTTCCTCTCAACTATCCTTGGCATGTGGCTTTTCATCCTCACGCTGTGGCCTAATAGTCACAAGAGGGCTGCCACATCCCCTGCTATCACGTCTGTTTTCAAAGCAGAAAGAATAAAGGAAAGGGATGGACTAGCCATATTTTTTCCTTTTGCCAGAAAAGCAGAGACCTTTGCAGAAGTCCCTCAGCAGAGTTTCCCTTTTATATCCGTATTAATATCCTGCTACTGCTTTAAAAACTGCCACAAACTTCGTGGCTCAAAACAACATAAATTTATTATCTCCCAGTTCTGGAGGTCAAAACCTGAAATGGATTTCACAGGGCTGAAATGAAGGTGTCATCAGGACAATGTTCCTTCTGGAGGCTTTAGTGGGTTCCTTGACTTTTCCAGTTTCTAGAATCTTCCTGCTTTCCTTGGCTCATGGTCCCCCTCCATCTCGAAACCCAGCAATGGTTGGTGGCGCCTCCCTCCCGCTGCGTGACTCTGACATTAGGGTGCCCACGCATTCTGAAACTACTTTGGGTTGCACAGTCGGCTGTGACTCTGCTCTGGAATTCAGCCACATGGTAGAGTCAACATAAATCACTACAAGTAACTGCCCCTCCCCATCCCGTTCCCCCCAGGCCTAACGTGGTAGTTGGTTGTGCTATTCAGTGCCTGGCAAATAGTAAATATGGCCTTAGAGTCTCATCTATAAAATGAGTATAAGGACAAGAGGATCTCTGAGTTCCCTTCCAGCTCTGATAACTTATAATCCTGTGATTACCATGGGGAGTCCAGGTCAAGCTCCCTTTTGTATTCTTGGGTATCTGGGGTGTCACTGTCTTGTCTTCTAAAATATGGGCTCAGAAACATAAAGAACGCATAATCTGGAACTCTAATACTCAGAGAACCACTTAACTTCTCTTAGCTCCAGTTTTCTCTAATGCATATGACCTCAGTAGTGCCCAACTTGGGTTTTAACGTGATGACGCATGAAAGATAACATATATAAGACACGTGGCGCACACTCAAGGAAGGGTAGCTATTATTATTCCCACTGAAAGAGGAGTTTTTGTTCCTAAAAAAGGGGAATGACAGATAAAATTTGATGGTCTGTGATCAAAGAAGAAAAACAACTGTCTTTAGAGTGATAACAATAAAAAAACTATCAGAAGCAAACATCTTTAAATTTTTAGTTACAGATCTCTTTTTCCTGTTCTCCTTTCCACACCCAAGTGGCTGGTCACCCCTGCATGTGATAACTAGCATACACGGCATACAGAGCAGCACCCCTGCTGCTTAGGGGGATACTTGTTTGCATGTCCCCTTTCAAAACATTGCATAAGATTCTCCTACGCTGCATGACTAGGGCCCTCTAAATGTCACATGAGCCTCAAGAAACTGTTTTTGCAAATTTGTTGGCACATTTGCATGATTTGTCATTTCAACCCAAGATCCCCTAGCCTTGTACTGTCCAAGACGGTAGCCACTCGCCATATGTGGCTAATCAATTTAAATTAATTGAAATGAGGTGAAATGAAAAAATTCTGTCTCTCAGTGGCACATGTCACATTTCAGGTGCTCAATAGCTACATGTCACACTGAGCAGAACAGATTACAGAACATTCCCACCATCACAGAAAGTTCTATTGGACAGCGCTGGCCCAGACTGATTCACTTAGCTTTTAATAAAAATAGACCCTTAAAAAAATCAGCCTGGCAGCTGAAGTACTAGTTCTGATAAAAGGGCCATCTGCTACTCTGGCAAGGACCGTTTTCCCAGGAACCTATCGCATGGGAGCAGAGCCAGCCTGGTGACCTACAGGTGGGGGAGATTTCGTAAAGCCTGGGCTCCCTGGGCTCACAAGGGCTCCACCAGGAATACCTTCCAATCCACGTTAAGTGCCAGCAGCTTCTTGACTGATAGCTTAACTAGTCCGCATCCCCAGTTGGAGACTGGAAGAGTGATTTCTCGGATCCAGGCTTCAAGAGACTCCGTCAGTGCCTTGCCCCAGAGCAATTAAGGGTTGCTGGCTTTCCTTGCACCCTTCCCAGGCTGCAGATACGCTGACAGGCATGTCCTTGATACCCATTTCTGTCTATCAACCCCCGCCCCCAGCTCTTCTTTTCCACTTTCTCAAATGCCTCCTCCCCGACACCCTATGACACCCCTTCTCAGCACTTTCTTTGCAAATCTCCAAGGTACTTCCTAACCCCAGGTGTCTGTGTCTGTGAACTTGGTCTTCTCCCCTGAGGGCCAGGCCCTGTGGTTTTCACCCAGCCCAGCATGGGTCCCGCACCTGGACACAGCAGACATTAATTAGCAGAACTTGTAAACTCTGCAGGGTCCACCCTGAAGCATTCTGTGGTGTCACTCTGCTCTACACCCTTGTCACAGAGAAACCCTAACGGTGGCCTCTGTGCTTGCCACTCGTTGCAGCTCATTCAGCCGTCGGCCAGGGTTCCTGCCTAGCAAGGGGGCACGGCAGAACAGCAGGCTCAGACTGCTGGGGCTCAACCCTACCCCCTTACCTGTTGGGTGATGTTACGTACATTATTTTACCTCTCTCGGCCTCATCTTCTGCAAAATGGGGATGTGCATAGTATAAATCCCCTGGATGGGCTGTGGGAATTAAATAAAATAAAGCACGGAAAATGCCTGGCAAATAGTAAACAACAAGTCATAGCTATTGTATTATTATTATCCTCATTCTCAGCAATAGCATAATGGTTCTGGGAAGTATTAATCGCTTCTTGACCTCGTTCATGCCCATGTTCCTGCCTTTGCCCTTCAGTCTCCTGGTCTCTGTATTCAGTCTATCAAACTAAGCATCTCCCAGACCCCTGCCGGCCTTGGCTTCTTCAGCCCCTATTGTGGGCAACTCCCTGGCTCCTGTGTGTAGGCTCCGGGATGCCTGGCCTCCTTTGGACATGGCCCGGCTCAGCTGGATGACTGTGCCTTGTTCAGGCTGAGGCTGCTCAGTAAATGTTGGCTAGTTGCAATTGCTGTTCTCAGAAAAACTAGCTTCCTAGAAATATGTTGGGTTGATTCCCGAGTGAAGGCTTCCAGGGAGTTGAACACCTCCAGCTTAAATGGGGTGTGTTTACAGGAGGAAGGGAAAGAGTGTTAGGAAAATCAAAGGAGTGAGCCTTCTGAGAGTATCATGCATCGCTGGGAATAACAAAACAAAAGGCATAAGCCAATTCTAAAAGCTTCCACTCAAATGGCATTTTGGAAGAAAGAATTTGGGACTGATGAAACTGTCAATGACCAAACACCAGTGGTTTACAATGTCGGCAAATGTGTGGTGTAGCAGGTATTCTCTTAATGATGGTTCTCCCAAATGTGGAAAGAAACTTTTAACAGTATTTCCCAAAATGTTCCTGTCCTTTGGACTAGAAAGACACTTCTAGAACTATAGCCCAATGATATAGTCAGAGATATAGTAAGAGTTTATATACAAGAATATCAGTGGCAGCATTTGTTTCCAAAGAGAATTTGGAAACAGCCTAAATAAATGTCCAGCAATGGAGAAATACTTTTGAAAGAGTAGAAATGTATTATTAACTCAATGGAATGTCATGGAACATTAAAAATATCGGGCTTAAGAAGATTTAATGGCATGGGAACACAAGATATAATGGGAAGTGAAAAGAACAGTAAACAAGTTCCTTTTAGGGTTTGGGGTCACAGGGGGAAGGGGGCGTGGTTGTAGTGAATGAAAGTTATTCACTTCTAAGTGGAAGACGAGCATTGCATTCACTGAGCATGTGGATGCTTGGGCCCAGGGGCCTTTAGCCACCAGTCCTGGCTGCCCTGGTTTCAGGTGGCAGGCTGGGACACAGACTGCACAGAGCAGGGGGCACAGAGAGGTATTAACTTCTGGGTTGTGTCATCTCGCGGGCACCCACAGTTCCCTGGCAAGATGGAACCGAGCGCTGGCCGTGGCCTGGGGTTGCTGTTGCTCTCTGCCACGCTCGCGTGGGTCCCAGACCTTCCTTTGACACTTCACGCAGGTGCGAGCCACCTTGGCGTTCCCAGATGCAGAGCACCGTCCACTGCAATAGCCTTCAGCTTTAGGAGTGGCAACTTACAACACTTTCTGATTCCTTCACCAAAAATAATCTCTTTGGACACAGAGCGTACAAAATCCACTTGCCTTGATTTAAAACATAAACCAAAACTTATTGACCACATTTTCAGCTCTGCTATTCCAAGAAGCTGCCCCTGAGCACTGAGGCATCTGGAGGTTGTTCTGCCGGCTGCCAGCCTCCCCGGGGCCTGTCCTGTGCTCAGGGCTGTCTGAGAAATTCTCCTGTCCTTTCAGCCACAGAAGCCTCACACGAAAAGAAAAAGGACAACTGACCCCAAAGACGTAGCCATCACCTGGGAGGCTGGTGGACAAGGCCCTGATCCTGTGCGAGCCTTGCCAAGCCCCAACCTCACGCCCTCCTGTGAAGAGGGACATCTCGTATCACTTCCAGAAAATGCGTCAGTGCTCTTTGCGATCTGAAGCAAGTGTCATCTTTAACAGCTCAGCGGTGGTAAACACTTTCATTTCTAATGATGAAGGGAAAGGATTCGGGCAGGTGATTTCGTTCCACTGGGTCTTTCTTCACCTTTTAAAACACCTGGCTTCTTTTCTTTTTTGTGGGACAGGGGGACTTTTACTGCAGGGCTACAGCCAAGGTCAAAGGCTGTGAAAAACCGTGGGACATTCGGAACGGCCCTAGGCTCTCGAGTCACGCCCCCGTGCAGCAGGGGCAGAGAGGCCCCCGAAGCCACTACCAAAGAAAGGTAGAAACACTACAAAAGTCCAACAGTAAGAGAACGGATAAACAGTTGGTGGT